CCCTTATTCAGCAATCAGCCGGCTACTAACCCCCGTCAGTCAGTAGTCGATCACGGCGCCCAGTGTCAGTATTCGGGGGAGCATTTCACTCGTTCAAAGATAAGCTCAAACACTATTCGAGAAGATGTGTTGGCAAAGATCCCCTTTTAGGCAACGCATCACTTTGGCGGATTGGGGTCAATAACGCATAGTGGTACAAATAAAAATTTCGTTTGAGGTTAATGAGCTCGATCAGTCCTTAAGAGTTTCGCTCGTTGTATACATTGAATTGAAAGGTCTAACAAAATGGCCTTACTCAACTTTTAAGGACAGTAACAGCTATAATAAATATATATATTTTGATTCTCTTCCAGCTATTTAATGGAAGTTCTACATAGAAGGAGACACACATGTTCGAGCTTGTCAAGCGAACACTATCGCCATTTGTAGAGTGCTTTATTTTTTTTTAATTTTTTATTTGCGCCTATTTTTCTCATTACAATTACAAACATCTCTTACAATGATCATAAGTTACCCTTGTAAAAGGTAGAGGGTTCTTTGTTTGTCAGACGCATAAAGGATGTTAGCCCTGCCTCTAATTCTTTATCGGTCCGTAGCTATAAAATACTTCAGTTTTTAACTGGTGGTTACTTGGGGAGATGGCCATTTAACGCAGTGCACTAAGGACAGACCCCAGACAAAACCCGATTAAGTAGTAATCTACAACATCATCATGAAACACTCGCGGTTTAATTAAGCCTGATCCGTCTTTTCATGTTTGCAATGCTGCCGCCAATAGCTGACGAACGCCTATTGGTTAAATAGTCTGATAACCGTTGAACTTGCTGTGAGTTATCAACCTAAAAGCTTTAAGTTCGCTTCCTCGCGCGTATATCAGAACTTCCAAAAGTGGTAGCTTTCTTCCAACGAACATTCCCAAACAGAATGTCACTAATTGACATATTTGTTCGTTAAGTGGCGTTTGTACGACCTAACATTGGCTGTATCTTTTATTTCATAAACAATTTATGGATATTTATAGATCCACAGTTACGTACCCATTTTTAATGGAATCTAAACATTAACTAAACATCAGTTAAACCCTCATAGGGTTAATTGGATGTTTTCCTTCTTTGTTAAACACAGATCGTTCTCTGATGCACATCTAAAATTAAAAAAACAACGGAAGAAGCGGAAAACAAATAGAAGGTTAGATCCTCTAATTAGAAAGAAAATCCATTATCTACCACATAGCCATAGGTATAGGAATTGCAATTTTATAACGTTAATTTTTACTCTATTAACGAAATTCCCTAACGAGTTAATTATATTTAGGAGGTACGTTTTGACCTATATCGTTATATTTAGCAGACATTGCACCGGAAGACCTACGAAAACTTGCATGATGACGACCGCGGGATCCGATCGAAAACTTTACTATGTATGGATATTACATTTTTTCGATCAAATGATTAAGCGTCCGGAAGATTGAACTAGTTAATTTATACATTATCGAAGACTCGCTGATGCACTAACGCGCATACGGACAAGAAGAGCAAATCCTCAATGCCTTATTTACCTTTTTTCAGAAACGAGTTGTACACTTAAAGCATGAAAGCTCAAACGACCACTATCCTCTTCCCGGTGACGAAATGCTGTTTGTGAATAGTAATCATATCAGTTACACCGTTTTTGTATCGACAAATCTATACTCTCGTCTATTCTAAATACAGCAGTGCCGTGAATGGCTCTTCATTGCAAATCTTTTCAATAATTAGCCACGCAGATATAAAAACAAACGATGTCATGCCTTTCTAACGTGCAAATAACACCAAGTGCATACAAATCGACGTGCACCGCGAACGATGGACAGATCAAACTGTTAACGCTTAATAGCAACAGAAATTACCGTTGATTCCTCTAAAAGCTATAGCTAGAAGGAATAGAAGTAGAATAAGCGTCGTCCGTATATAGCTATCTCGCATCGTCTACTTAGCACTTACTATTTAATGTAAAAGTTACCTAATGTCAGTTAAAAACAAATAGAAAAGGTCGCACTAACGGCCATTGATAAATTTTTTTTCAGTTGACTTCTTAGCTATTACATCCTCTCGTCTCATTTAGGCTCGACTGTCCCCGAGTTTTTATTCCTGGATCCTGAATCGGACTAGGCAATCAGGTTCAACGTTCAGTACTTCGACGCTATTTACGTTAGCTTCAAATACGCTTTCGGCCTTGGTTCCGAGCTTTGGAGTAAGAAGCTGTTCAATAGCTTGGCTTGAAGCTTTTCTCAGTAACGACACTTTTGAAGGCCAATATTCTGAGAGTACTAGTAAAATGTCTAAGTGTCCCCAAGGTACTATGCGAGGTCTTTTGGTGTGCATGTATATAAGCTCTCTAACGTACACACTGCCGCCGTCATTATCGGTACAGATAGATATGAAAAATTCACCCTAACCTACATAACGCCAGTGTGGAATCCAGGCTTAATCAATGATAAGGACCTTCTAAATAAATAGACTGGACCTATACAGGGGATGTTATATAGGCTAAAGCCTAATGATGCTTTGACTAGTGGAATAATTCTAATGGATAGTAGTGTTGACATCCACCAAACATTTTAAGATATATAGAATAAATTGACGTATAGACAGGCACACCGTCGATCGGGCAGCGACGCCATTCATGCAGTTTTCTACGCAGGCGCTACAGATGCCTCTAGCTAGCCATAATTATACAGTAGATCAATACTAATAATAGTGATATTATACAGGTTATTGGTAACACTGATAATCCGATTGTGAAGCGCATTTTCTCACAAGGCCAAACACTAACAATAAGGGTGAAGACGGAAGACCATACTGACATGAAACACTGAAATAAGGACGCGGTCAGGCTGTGACGCATCGTAACATAAATGACGTTTGCAACTAATATCATCATCAAGTAGATGTTTCCTGTATATTAACAAAAAAAAAAACGACCTGTAAACCGAATAAAGCATTCCCGTACTGCAGGCAAGTGCTTGTGAAACTATGACACTGATACCAATAAAGGTTAACTCTGCGCGGAAAGAACAACCGAGCAAAAATCTAACATCGAACCTCTAATAACGGCACACCTACGTTTGGTCCCTAGCCCTCAACGGTAGTATTCCTTTTGGTGCTAGAAATGATTAAGTTCAGCGTTCAAATTCGCCCGCTGTTGTTCTCAGCTCGATTCATTGTCGAGTAATGGGGCATCGGTTACTTTTTCCTGTACAAACACCACGTACGTACATGAGAACGTCACGCGCTGCAAGAAATCGTCTAGGCTCGTGGCGTAGCCAAGCAGCAAACGCAACAACGACCAGACAGAGCGCCGTGCCAGGTGTCATCGCTTCGTATTGATAGATGGATGGATGGATTTATGGCAGCTTCAAGGTTTCACCCTGCGCGTAGATGAAACGCGCAAGACTGGCGCTATAACGTTTCACAAGCTCCCGACAGTCCGAAAGTGTTTTGACAGTTTGAGCGTCGTCTTAGTAGGTACGTAAATGATTGTAATAGGAGGCAAATTAGACTGTGAAACATATCTGAAATTGCGACTCGAGTACCGTTACTAAAAGATTATGTTGCCTTATTATATAACGGAGACTAGCATGCTCATTCAAATGCTATTATATAGTAATACGAGTTCGTACTATGCTTAAAAATAGTGTTAGGGTGTTCCTGTTACGAAGGTATTGCCCAGTTAAATTCGTTCCTTATTGCGGTAATTCGCGACATAAACAAATGTCAAATGAATACCCTTCCAAACATCGAAAAAGCTTTCTCGTACTGCGCTGTGACTTTTCGACCACCCTGTACGTTCATATGCATACTTACTAAAGACGCACACAAAAAAACATGCATATATGCCTGTAGTTATAGTGTGGCAGTATATAACTGGATTATCTGGATAATACGATTGCGTGAATCCTACGTTGAGCACCGTTGTGTAAATTTTACGCCTATACAATTATAAGAATATTCGTTACATCGGAAAGTGGAAAAAAATGATTATGTAGATATCCAACGTCAGATTTTAGGAATATACAAGAAACAATAAGGACTCGAGAGGATCCAGCGATGATTCCTTGCATCGTGTAGCAAACGACTCGTATCGAGTGGTTAAGCCAGACTATAAAGTTTGATTGGGAAGCGCATAGTGTTTAATGTTACCGAACGTAAATACAGACTACCCTAAACATTCCAATGGTAAATGTCGTGCCGAAGCCCTCTGAATATTGAAATCTGTCGCTTGGGAGAATCCAGGCAGAAACGGTTTGATGGAAAACTTGAAAACAATTACGTAAACGCTATCGGCTGCTTCTTCTAGCCGCTGATCTTTTTGCAGCTAAGAAATTTTGCTATAATAATGTTGATGCGCGTTGCGGTGTAAATCATTGGAACTATGAGTGTCGATCTACGGTGAGTAAAATTTTACTGTTGGCCTATTGATTCATTGACCCAACCGAGCTCAGTTTCCAACCATAGTGATGCCATTGTCTCAGTCATATGCCTACGATACCCTTACCGTTCCAATTCTTGCACAGGGCTTTTAAAAAGGAACAGACTCCTGTTGTTAATACTTTTATGTCCCGATTTTTAATTTTTCATTTTATATACTAAATGGACATTTACTCATTTTCCTCCCGCTCACTGGAAAACACAGTTAAGCGTAGCTATGCTGTGATTACTGATTCTAAAACTCAGCTAAATGCCAGACACTACAAAGAGCTATATCTTCGTACAGGCGGTGCCGCTTCTTTTGAAAGGGTACAAATCAATTATAGTCTTAATGGTTTATTACCATAACATGAGTTGGTAAATCATTACTAATAAATTTTTTATCATGTTTATAATCGAAGCCCATTTGGTGAAAATGGCGCTCGCAATGAAGCACATTATTTTTGCTTTTCAAGCAAAACTGAGGTCGATGTGAAACATTAGCCTTGTCCCGTTTACAACAGGTGGGAAAAATGGATACAATCTACTCACGAGTGAGACGACATCGCTGAGCATGTGAAAGCTGTCTGCTACCAATGCCATCGAGTTGGTAACATAGCCAACGGTAATTTCGACAAGAAAGAATGCTGTCGTGAGGGCAAACATGAATGCCAAGCGACATTTTCGGCCCCCCATTATACCGGTCCTGATAAAGAGTCACTACTGCTATTTCTGCTGCAGTTGGCCTACGGAGATGATCAACTGACGTTGCTGTAAGCCGCCGTGACGGAATATAGCGGATACGAACAGAATCACACAATACACAATTGACGTGACAACAGACTGAACAGCTCAGGACGGTACGAATCGGCCACGTTGCGGGACCACGCTCACACCCGCTCACTGTAATTAAAGCAAATAAAAGTGAAACCGTCACACTTTTTTCACTGGCCCTTTAATAAATACTATACTTTTACTCTAAGAGTAAACATTACATCTAATTACCTGCTATATATATATACCTTCATTAATATGGATACGTTTAAAATTTGTAAAATAAACCTAAATCCTGTATCAGAGTGGAGTAAATCTGAGATTATGGTACCGTTGCAGTAAGCTCTCATTTTTTTCTTTCAAAGCCCGATTTTTATATTTATATAACTAGCCGACACGATCTTCTTTTTAATTTGAAATGATTGGTGTCTCTTACCAATAAGGATGGAGTTGGATAGGTTAGCCGTAGCTGATTGGTGGAGAGTGTTCACCGGTACTTGAATAACAGTCACAATAACAATATGTAGGAAATGGCGAGTTGCTATCTCGCGCAGAATTGGCTTCCGGGAGAGCTGATCGCCATTTTGAAACTCCTGGCGGTCGGAGTAGTTTCTGAAAAATATTACAAATCCAGAACACATTAAACATTGCAATAATTACGTCCTTAGTTTTGCTATCGAATAGTAGAAACCTACTACTACATGTGAAAATAAACACAGGTATGCGCCCTGCTTGATAGATGTAGAAGTTGGCCGGCACAGAGTAAGAGAAGTAACTTACAATGATGGTGATCGATGTTAGTGTTTCTATAATGTTTGTTAATCGTACGATATAGCCACAGTGGCTCCTGTTCTATTGGATATACACACAGCTATTATCGATGCGTCAGCCAATAGTTCACATGCTATGCATGTTATCATATAGAATGAAGATAATTAACTTCCTTTATTGACGCTAAGTATGTAGCATGTGCCGTTGGTGACGCATGGGAAATAAATATGTGTTTGTATCTTTCGTGCCTCTGCATATGTCTCTTATTTTCGTACCCAAAGGACACGATAGATCTCTCTGTATTTGCAGAAAATAAATCTGAACTGTAAACGAAAACAATACTATTGGAATTACAAAGACTCGACTATATAATATTTCAAGAGTGCTAAAAAACACGAAGGAATTCTTTTTTTTTGTTAGAACTTGTCTGCCTCTTTGTTTACACCTGTTTAGAGATCGCATATCGACGCTGTCTTTTGACATGAACCAACAAATCCGCGCCATGAAAGCTTTTATGACATGCTTCCAGTCCGCTCCTTAGTTCGGTTCTCCTATCTCTGCCACGCACTTCCTATCAAACGCTGCGGAATCCATAACCTTACTCCTATGGCTCAGTACCCTTCACACTCTGAACTGATTGCGGATAGTTTCAACGTAACATCGTGCTAAACAGTGTTGGGTTAAGGCTGCGCCCAATCAGAAGCTACACATCAGGACTTGGCTTCTCAAGGCCTGGAGGCCTTACCAGCTACCAGCAGCCAACACAAGACGGCATACATAACGATGCTCTTACGCCGGCCTTTCTGTGGTACCACCATCGCCACGCACTTCCGTAGTGCTTAGCTTAATTCTCGTTTGTCCTTAAGAAACAATGAAAAGCAAAACGAACGATCAGTGTCGGCTTGAAATGGCCTGTTGAGCTAGCAGGTCAAGCGTTAATAACACAACCTACTTTTGCTTCATTCAAGTGGATACTTGCCTGAAGGGCCCGTTCGAAGACTACCTTTAATTACACATGGTCGCAGACCTGTCTACCGGGTCCTTGATACGGTCGCTTCGCACAGAACGTATCTATAGCACATAATGTCGTAACATAAGTCAGCTCAATACAGAATTTCCTTGACCTTCCTCCTGCTTGGTGATCCTCGGGAAATTATTCCTTCTGCAACTAGGACGCTCTGTCCAGTCTTTCCTCTACATGACAAGCTGGTCTATTCAAACTCCGGAAAACATCGGCGGCCTGTTTATCAAATCAAACATATTTTCACCGGCTATTTTCGACACCAAAAAAATAATTCTTGCTAGAGCAAAATCACAGGGTAGCCATGGTACAAACTGTACGTCATTTTTAGAGCTTGAGCAAATTTCGGTTACTATAGAATATCACACGGTACGATTCACCGAGAACTGCCTAGATTAGAAATGTTCTTTTTTGCGTGAGGCCGATATTACTAGTTTTTACGCGGCTTTTGGAAATACGAGGGAGATTTCCGTGAAGCACATTGAAAGATCCTCAGTATGACTTAGATATAGAGGCACGAAAATTCTTTAGAATGGTTCAAAAAAAAGATAGTTTTAATGTACCTGGATCTCTCATAAAGAAAGAGAGAGTCATTTTGGAGGGGACATATCTGTTACTAATTGGACCGTTCAGACTATTTCTAACAGGATGTCTTTCTGCGCCTTATTTTGTCTTTTGACCCCTTTTAGAACTTTTTTACGGTTCTGAAATTTTTCGCCAGATATCAGCCCAAAAGTTTAGTGTTGCTATATATAAATGATCAGCTGTAATAACAGTTACATCGAATAAACTTAACCATTAGGAATGACAGTTGCAGAACGTTTTTGTTACGTACACTTGGTAAAAACAATCTTGGTAAAAAAAGTCCAGAACATTTCAGATATGGTTCAAAGTCAAGTGCTTTGTCCTTAGAAAAAAACTTCCACTTCTGCTGTGTATGACCTGACTCGTTGTCAAATACCCATTCCACAGCAGTGCGGTCAGTCGAAATCGTCAGAGCACAAGGGCGCAGAAAAGGAAGTGCGATCTTTCCCTGCGACGTTTCGGATTCCAGTGTCACGTAATCTACCCAGGTATTGTTATGTCTGAGCGTCGCTCGTTCCTTTTCCTTCACTGATCACTATGGATAACAGTGGACTGAATACACGGGACCAGCTGGCCTGCAGCGCTATCTTCTTAATCCTAAATATAGTTAGCGCTAATATCCTTTGACAAAATAGGTAAGGCTACTGGCATTGAAATACCATTCGACGACAAGGGGTACATGTTCTTACACTTCAATGGTGAAGATGGTTATTAGCAATGGTGACGGCCCATTTGCAGTAAATTAAGTTGTGCGTGTCCCTGATTCGGTATTGAACTTCTGACTGATCAGCAGTTTCTAATACCGGGTCAACTATTGGAACCAACTGGATTAACTGGAAAAACTAGAGTTACCGAGTCAGCAATGTACCTATTTATTAAAAAAATATCTCGCTGGGATTTTGGCGCTCCTGTTATAAGGACGACAATATGCCGCTTGAGGAAATGTTTAGATACAATATTTATATCTGTGTGACGAATACAGTAATACGCATCCAATACGTGCGGTATAAGTGTTTGGCTAGCACCCTTTCATCTGAGCCGTACGATAGCTGACACCTTGTTGTTAGATGAATATCTAAATTATTTGATGCCCTTTTCTTGTACAGCCTTTCACAAACTACGAATATCCGATACTCTGTACACATTAATTCCTCTATTGGCGATGGGAAATAAATCTAGCCCTTTCCGGCCTCGAAGTTCCCTACGATCTCTATGGCGATGCTTGCTAAATATTCCTTATAGCGAATCATTTCGCTCAACAAAATACAAAACCCCCGCTAGGAAACTCTTTCCTGGTCGATTTGCACCAATGAAATGGCTTTCTGTTTGCATTTTCACTCTTTACGTCATTGTCCAGCTAACACATCAACGTCGTGCGCTCTGCCTGCCATTTGTGCTCCACAGGGCAATGACAGGGACGGAAGTAAGTTGTAGCTGAAGTAGCTATTACTAGCGACACTAAACAATGAAAGCCACTTTATTTTAGCCAGTATCAAGGTCCACTTCTTCCACGCTCCGCTTCCTTTCCTCTTCCTCTACTATGGCATCGTTATTCCCTGCTGAAGCTGCAGTCAATCAGATGTCCTCATGAGGATTGCACAGGTATGTGCACCTTCCTCACAACGGTTCTCAATCTATTTCCCATCAGGTTAAACCTTATCTATAGCACGAGTTATGCTGTGTTAAGTGCCAATGAAGTCCCAATCAGTGCTAGGCACTCGTTAGATCAAAATGACAATGGTTCTTCTCAAGGAGCTGGCTTTACCGATGGAAAATGCCGCATTAACACGGCCGTTTGCCCGAGCCCATGCTATGTGTAATAAGCGAGTACTATTTTAGCCTATAGATAATATACATCTCACGTATTCTTGACATATTTACTCCGCTATTTAGGCAAGTGGTATTAATCCTCATGGGCAGTAATACTCCTAGGGGTAATACTCTTACCTTTCGAGGATAAGTTTAGTGACAACCAACCTAAGTTCTGTGCACGCTCATCAAATACCTGTCCGCAGAAGCCAACAATTGAAGCAATTACTTCGCAGACTGCATAATTACCGACTGCTACAGCGCGGAACAACAGTGACAGTGAGCACTAGTAGATAGACCGCCATCTATCGGCGTTTACATAGATGATTACGCTGTCAGCCAACTAGGTAAGATTACTAGACCAATGGCCACATGCGGCCTTGTACCATCTAATGTTGTGACATCATTTTCGGAGCTAAGACATGTACCAATGTTCTTCGTAACTGGCTTACTCTATTTGCTGATTTGCTCTTCGATTCACTGAGATCACATTGAAACGAAATGCTCATACAGGTCCGCTAGGAAATGTGTTCTAACCAAAGTGTTTAATATTTCGATAGCACAACCAATTCCCTTGCTGGTTCAGTTATGCGCGTATGGAACGCCTCGTGGCAAACTACATGATGACAAAACAAATCATCCTTTTCACAATGTTGTGAGTCCAATACAGCCTCGTGATTATAAGTCATAGTATATTTGCTCTTGTGTGAACGCGCATCACAACGTTTCTTTGTTGGGCGCTATAGTTTTGCCATCTATACAAATAGGCCAAGCAATATATTGTCCGAAAATGGCCTGAAATTAGAAAAGCTTTATGCGGAGAAAGCTAATAATACCACCGAAGCGTATATGGTTAATGTCTACTCATGATAAACAACACACGCTGACCACTCGACTATGATCAATGCTGACGCTCATCTCAACGACTAATTTGTCCATTATGCTAGGCAACTGATTGATACCTAAATTAAACCTAATTTTGAGACGTTCAAATGTTTATATATAATAACGCCTCGTACAGCAAAAACACCGGAGGTCGTCTTCGACTCTCCTTGAAGTTTGGCCTGAAAGCCACGTCCCGTAGACCATCGTTCGTAGTACGTAGTATTTGTTTGGCCAAATTTTGACGGGTAACAGCAGTCCAGCTATTGACAGACAGCGGCGTATATCTGGGGTAGGTAATGGGTCTGATGTCGCATTTGAAAAGCCCCACACGCATGTCTAGCTTAGGATTGTTTCAGTAATTAAGTGTAATTTTTAATATCTTAAGGTTCTGATACCGTTTTTACTGATACAGTTAAACCTGATAATAAATATAACCTAGTTGCCTGTTGTTATACACTTGTTTGATAATGCAAAAACAATTTGTTCACACAATGTGAACTTTTAGATAGTTTGTTGGTTCAGTTAGGTCCTATAATTTGTA